GTTTTTGTTTTTGTTTTTTTCTTTTCTCACTCACTTTCTAGCCTCGTGTCTCTTGCCTTCCAGAAATACCCCCAAATGATACCCTCGGCTCACTTGACTTCCTGTCTCCATGCTGACTTAAGTTGAGGAGAACTGGAGATGTCTGTATCTCATCTTAGAAGTGGGAAGGACCAAGTCTCCCTCTGGTCATTCTTGGAGGGAAGAGACAGTATGTCACACAGCGACGCATGGGCCTGGCTGTCCACACCAGCATGAGTAAGCCGTTCTCCAGGTAAGAGAGGAGGCAGGAGCTGCCAAGGCAGAGCCTTGTCAGCAATTCCTCAACCTCTTCCTTCAGTCCCTCCCTCAGAGGGACAGGACAAGCCAATAGACAGAGTAACTGAATTCACTTTGGGCTATTTATGGTTTGCGCCAGCCTATCCATCATCTCAGAGAATTGCTTGGGCCCTTTATTTCTTCTCTTCCACATTTCCTATGGCTCCTGCACTCTCGGCAGCCAGGGAAAACAGGAGGTAAAAGACAGGGGTCACAGCATGGGAGAGTCAAGAGCGATGGTCAGGATGAACGGGGATGTCACTGGCAAATATGAAATCTGACGATTACCTCTGAATTCCACATATCCATAATCACAGTTCCCTAACTGTGGGTAACTGAGGGTCCCTAGCATATTTTTTTCTTAAACTTTCTATATCCTGTGTCGCACAACATGAAAGGGTAATGAATACTCCTGGATGGATAATGGATGGGATGTACGCACTCACAGGAGTTCCGGTACAAGACTCTACCATAGCCGCCGTCTGCTAACGATCTCTACATATATCTGAGCTGCTAATGTCCTCTTATTCCTTTGTCCCTAGTTGTCTAACAAGCTCAAATGTCCACTCTGAATACTTCAGCTATACAGCTGACATCAATATTGCCTACAGTGAGATTTATTTTCTCACTTAACCAAAAAAAAAAAAAAGTTATTCATTCGAGACTAGAGTTCAGAGAGACAGAATTGCTTTCCAGAAGCCCCAATGTCAAGGACAGGACTAGGACCTGTTCTAGCAAGTCAAGGAAAGGAAGGGAAGCATTGATGTGTAAGAACACAGCAAGAGGCTCTGTGGGGCAGGGTGAGTGCTGCGTGAGGGGACTTCTCGGTAGCAGTGACTTCCGTGGAAGCAATTCAACCTTGTGCTTTGAAGGCCCTCACTCTCCCTGGAGGCTCTCGGCATCTTGACCTTTGGTGACCTCAGGATTTTCTGGCAGTCACTGGAACCAGGAATCACCTTTTCAGAAATCGGTCTGGCATGGCTTCAGGACTTATCTTTCAGACCTCGTCACAATTATTCATGCTCTGGCAGTATCCTAGCTACAGTCACAGTACTCCTGGGGGCCGATACCGAAGGTTACTCTGTCCCAGCTGATGAAGAAGGGAGGTACCCTTCCTCAGAACCCTGACTCCAGTGGACAGGCTCCCCAAAAGGGCATGTTCAGAACGCCACTGCATCCCAGCCTGTGGGCAGGCTGACATAAAATAGGAATGAACCCCCAAGTCGCCAGCAATTTGGCATCATAGTGCACCCTACTGCTTGGTCACCATCTGCTTAGGACACCATGATACAAGCTCAGATGCTGCACCCCGGGTTTTGCCTCACCCTTACCAATGGCAAACAGTTTCTGGGTTTACCTTTTTTTTTTTTTTCCTCTTTAACATCCTGCTTCTATTCTGTGGCCTGTCCTTCCTGCTTTGTGTATTTTAGGTTACTTGAGACATGACCTCACATCCTGGACAGTTGCACAGTAGCTGCTAATTGCCGGAGCTCTGTTAATGGAATATACATTTATGCAAGAGGGGAGTGGACCGTAAGAAGCAAACTCCAGAAGTCGGTGAGCTAGCATAGGTCCAAGTGAGGGAAGCTTAGAAGCCATAATAACAGCTTCTGACTTGAGCTTCGTCTCAGGTTGTCTGTGTGGCCTGCCGCAGCTGGCTTAACCTCTCTGAGACCGCTCTCTCGTCAGAGTGGAGATCATGATAGCTCCTATCTCACAAAGGGTGCTACTGAGATTAACACTAGACAGCGACCACAGGCGACTTAGCACAATGGAAGCTGTTATTATGGCTTCTAAATTCTGGAATGGATTTCACCACTAGCTCCTGTCTAGACGTTCTGCTCCACCTGCCTGCCTCTAGCTCCCAAACGGTCAGCTCCTCCAGGAAGCACTCCTTGATCAAGGAGAACTCACACAATAATGCATCTTCATTGTTTCCTGATCTCTTCATATCTGTGTGTGTGTGTGTGTGTGTGTGTGTGTGTGTGTGTGTGTGTGTGTGAGAGAGAGAGAGAGAGAGAGAGAGAGAGAGAGAGAGAGAGAGAGAGGGAGAGAGAGGGAGAGAGAATGAGAGGGGGGAAGAGGGAGGAAGGGAGGGAGAGGGAGAGACACGTTTACATTTTCCCCAGTCCACACCCCAAGCTTCTCTAAGATCTAGCTAGATCTAGAAGCTCCGCCTTTCACAAACATCTCAGGGAGACCATCCCAGGAAAGCACAATCGTCAGCACACGGCTGGGCGCTCAGAACAAAACGTGGCGGCCGCCTCTGGAACCCAGCTTCAGCTTATCCCTCTCAGTCAGTGATGCATGGCTCTCTTGCTCATTCAAGTCTCTGTTAGCAGGCTCTCAGAAGCGCCCCCCCCCCCAGAAAGAAGCAGGGACAGTGACAGGTGTCCCCCATCATTTCTCATGTCCACCCCTCCACCAACTACCAAGTCGTTCGTTCACGCTCCACTCTCCACACTACAGCTCCACCTCATCACTTCCCTGTCGTTCCTGTTGACGTTGCTACCCAAGAGGCCTTGGATCTGTTCCTCCAACCCCCCCTTCGTGAGCGTAGAACTTGGTCCACCTTCTATCTCTGCCACATTAGCCATTAGATTTTACACTTGTTACTCTGATTTCATCTGATGTCATGAAGTGCCCCCTCCCAGGCCTTGAGATTCTCCCGTGGAACTTTCCAGATCACCTGCATGGAAATATTTCATGAAAGGCTCAACCACATAAATCCTGTTTCTGTGCTAACCAGCAGTGCCCTGTATGCAGGATCATCTGTTTAAATGAAAACCCCGTCATTTGTCATGGCAGCTTTATTTATGAGTCTGTGTACTGTAACCCTATGGCATAAATATTAAATAATAACATCCCTCGGGCAAAAGAAAATCATTCCCATTACCTGGCAACTTCTTATAAAAATAGGAAGCAAACCCAGCCACAAAAATTGGTATTGGCAAATTCTAAAATGCCAAGTATAAGCAAGGATTGTTCAACAGGTAGAGAGGGGCACGGTTATAATTTGCATTTTTTTTGCACTGTCTTCATTCAAGAAATGAAACGGCCAAGAAGTAAAGAGTGTTTAAAACAACAGCAAACTTGGGTGAGGTGACCAGTTTCTTCAAACCCAAATTCCAGTTTCTGTCACCATCTCCTAAGCAGCTGAGCTCTCAAGAAGACCAGATTCCAAACACTGGCCGTGCCACATGAATGGGGTTCTGGACAAGGACATTGCTCGTTTTTTAAGCATTCTGTGAATTTCCTATTACATCAGTTTCATGATTCAGCATTTTCCTTTTCATTTATTTACAGTAATATACGGTGAGATAACCCAAGCTTTCCGCAGGGTCCTGGAACATAAGGTAGGCTGGGCAGCAAGGGTGTAGCCTTCGGTAAATTTACTATAGCTCAGAACTCAGCAACAAATGAGAGAAAGCAAGTCATCCAAAGAACTGGGCGATATCTCCTCACCGTACTCTGGGGGTCTCAACTACTCTGGTATTTAAAATAGGTTACTGCCATCTAGTTCTTAAGTCTAACAGAAGGCAAGTAGTGTGTGCAAATTGCAAGCTGACGTGCCTAAGCCGAACGCAGCTCTGAAATGCCAACGTTCAAGACGCAGCTAAAGTCACCACTCTGGCGGTAAGCGTGGTCCAAAGAAGTGGATTCCGTTCTGGCATCCGCAACTTGGCTGGAGTGACCAAGGAGTTGACGAGCCTCTGGAAACGGGAGGTGCGGTGGCACACAACCGTCCGGGCCAGGAGGAGCCAGTGAAAACTCCAAGAAGGGTCGGGGTGGGTGGCAGAGGAGAAGGAGAAGAAGTTGGGGACAAGAAGGAAAGGAGCTAAGGAAGGTGAATGGAAAGCCAAGCATGGGTGGGGACAGGACTGGGGAGCTCCGCTCCGAGGGGCTGCAGGCGAATGTGTGGTAGGGAGGGTCCGGTGTCACTGGGGACAAGAAGGGTACTCTAGGGGAACCTGGCCCTGGTCTTCAGCGAGGCCGTGAGGAAGAGGAATGGACTCCAGTGAGAGTAGCTGGCAAGTCCAGTCCAGGCACCCGGGTACTCATCCCAGCTGCTGGGAGCGCCCGGGGCGCAATGGCAAGGAAGAGAGAAAACTCGCGTCCTCTTCCCCACCTCTTGCGACTGAGGTCCGCGGCCACCCCACCCGCCTGTCCCCAGGGCCCGGGCAGAAGGAAGGACCCGAGTAGGGTCCGGCGCTCACCAGGTAGCAGAGAAGGAGCAGCGCGCCTGCAGGGCGGCCGCCGAGGCCCGGGGGGCCCCCGCCTCTCGGGGGGACCATGGCTGCGGCCCGGGGACCGA